AGAGTCCTTTCTTAACATAAATATGAATAAAGCTCAGTTTGTGACATTCTGTCTCTGTTCACCTTGTAAGTTCTCAGTTCACTCTTTCCAGACAGGGCAGGCAAGGATCACCCTCCTCGATTCCCATGCTGGGTCCAAGTATTCTGTGTCACAGCCACACAGACTCATTGGTCATGTATAGAACCCACCCAACCACATGAGTCCATATTTTCTTCTCAATGTACTTCTTTTGACCATTACCTGATCCTCTGTTTTTCTTTCTCATACTCCCTTCCCATCAGCTATGAGCTTTTGACTGGTATACATTCCTAGTGAGGTGTGTTAATTACAATTTCTTAAGTTGGGAGTGGCAGGAACCTCAATTTAAATTAGCTCAGGAAGTTCAAGAGCATCATGATCCAGGGGCTCCAGTGATGTCACAGGACTTGGTCTCTCTCCATCTATAAACTCCCCCTAAGGGTCCACATGGTAGCAAGATGGTCACCAAACATTCCAGGCTCAGAGAAAAGAGAAAGCTTCTCTTCCTCAAAAAATTCAGACGAGACGCTGATTCTCATCGGTTCCAATTTGGCCACAGGTCCTCCCCTGGATCTGGAGATGAGTGCCAAGGAAGAGGAACTATGTTGGGTGGCCAAAACCAACTGTGTTCACCCTCCAGACAGATTCAAGGTCCTCAAGCTGGCTTACTTTTTCAAGATGCCCCCTCAGGCCACCTGTGAACAGAGTCATCCTTACTTGCATCTGTCCTGTGTTTTACCTCTGGCCTTTGGGACAGTTTCAGTCCCCTCCCGCTCACCCTGCTGATGAAGGGAATGGCCGAGCACACAACATTGGACAGATGGGACCAACAGCAGTTTATTCATCACATATACTCACAGTCCAGAGGAGCTGGACACAGTGCCAGGCAGGGCCACATGGGGGCTGAATTCGGGAACAGAGTGAACAACCAGGGCTGTGCGAAGCCCTCTTTGTAGTATCAAGAGTTGGTGGGGTGTCCTGTGGGAGGATGGGATTGGCTTGTTTGAATAATTCCACTGGCTGGCATGGACCTGAAGCCCGCCTCTAAGGGATAAGCAGCAGCTGGGCCTAGTCCTTTTGATAAGAAGGGCTGTTTGGCTAGAGGACCTTATCTGCAGGATAGAGTCGAGTCGAGACCAGGTGTCATAATGCTAGTTCCACTGTCAAGGCCCACAGCACCAGCACTGGAGAAGGCAGTGTAGGGCTCTCTGGGTGTTTCTCAGAATAGCTTTTCTTTAAGGTCTCAGAAGTAGAACGCATGCCTTTCTTTCCCATGCATGTCTGTTCCAGGTTGTTATCCCTGTCTTGGCCAATGAACAGAATCACCTAGACTGGCCCCACGTGGTACGTCAAGATGTCCGGCGGCATGCCCACAGCCTCCAGTGTGACCTCCTGGTCATCGTTGAGCAAGTGAAGGGGAAAACTTTGCTGCCTCTTCCAGCAGGCTCAGAAAAAATAGAGTTTGTGGGTTCTGAAAGTGAGACCATGTAAGTACCACCAGCCTGGCCATATGGGCCTCTGAGATATGGGAGATGCTGGTTTNAGCTGTGAGCTTTTGACAGGTATACATTCCTAGTGAGGTATGTTAATTACAATTTCTTAAGTTGGGAGTGGCAGGAACCTCAATTTAAATTAGCTCAGGAAGTTCAAGAGCATCATGATCCAGGGGCTCCAGTGATGTCACAGGACTTGCTCTCTCTCCATCTATAAACTCCCCCTAAGGGTCCATGTGGTAGCAAGATGGCCACCAAATATTCCAGGCTCAGAGAAAAGAGAAAGCTTCTCTCCCTCAAAAAATTCAGACGAGACGTTGATTCTCATCGGCTCCGATTTGGCCGCAGGTCCTCCCCTGGATCTGGAGATGAGTGCCAAGGAAGAGGAACTATGTTGGGTAGTCAAAACCAACTAGTGTTCACCCTCCAGATAGATTCAAGGTCCTCAAGCTGGCTTACTTTTTTCAGATGCCCCCTTAGGCCACCTGTGGACAGAGTCATCCTTACTTGCATCTGTCCTGTGTTTTGCCTCTGGCTTTTGGGACAGTTTCAGTCCCCTCCCGCTCACCCTGCTGATGAAGGAGGGATTCCTGCCCCAGGGTTATGGGGATGACCAAGCATACAACATTGGACAGATGGGACCAACAGCAGTTTATTCATCACATATATTCACAGTCCAGAGGAGCCGGACACAGTGCCATGCAGGGCCACATGGAGGCTGAATTTGGGAACAGAGTGAACAACCAGGGCTGTGCGAAGCCCTCTTTGTAGTATCAAGAGGGGGTGGGATGTCCTGTGGGAGGATGGGATTGGCTTGTTTGAATAATTCCACTGGCTGGCATGGATCTGAAGCCCGCTTCTCAGGGATAAGCAGCAGCTGGGCCTAGTCCTTTTGATAAGAAGGGCTGTTTGGCTAGGGGACCTTATCTGCAGGATAGAGTCGAGGCCCTCCTGATTATATCAGGTGTCATAATGCTGGTTCCAGTGTCAAGCCCCACAGCACCAGCACCGGAGAAGGCGGTGTAGGGCTTTCTGGGTGTTTCTCAGAGTAGCTTTTCTTCAAGGTCTCAGAAGTAGAACGCATACCTTTCTTTCCCATGCATGTCTGTTCCAGGTTGTTATGCCTGTCTTGGCCAATGAACAGAATCACCTAGACTGGCCCCACGTGGTACGTCAAGATGTCCAGCGGCATGCCCACAGCCTCCAGTGTGACCTCCTGGTCATCCTTGAGCAAG